GAATTAATTTTTAAAAGGTAGGTATGTTGAACACCCCGCTGTAATTTAGCTCAAGCTATGAGTGTCGGGGGTGGAGGAGAAGATTGTTTATTATAAAATTAGTGAAAAATAAACATTAGATTAAAGCTCTTAATATCATAGGCCTATCATAGGCCTATATCATAAGCCTACCCGCCCCGCTACTGCTGAAGACTTCATGACATAATTATGGAGGTTAAGTCTGCATAAAAGATTCATTGCAATTAGTCCGAATTATCAAGCAGAACCAAACTTGTAGGCCATTACTACAAATAATGTGGGCTACATAATGCCTTCATAATTATTATTTATAGTGTAAGATTAGGGTATTCACTGTGGGTGTGTAGAACTGAGGTCTTGATCAGTTTTAACGAAGGTGGCGGTTGGACCAATGATATAATATTAATACTGGTGTCTTGTTAGAAAAACTACAGAGTGCGCTTATCTGTTCATGAGTGGAGTAGGCAAAGCACCTGTAGTTCGAGTGGACTTGAGCCCACTCCAAAGATAACTTGTGCGTGCTGAGGAAAAATAATATTACTATTTCAAAGTTTAAAAACCAAACCATTTTAGGACCGGAAGTCGTATTGTGGGAGGATCTCTCGTTCTCTACTTTCATTTTCAATCTAACTTCTGGCTGGCTTACTGGAGCGGCTGTGACGGGCGGTGCTGTTTGTCGTAAATATTGTTTTCTGTTTACCTTCTTGATTCTTAGACTTCACCCACAAAGTTTTCTGGACTTGCTTTGTATTCTACCTTTTCCTACGCAAAGCTCATTTAAAGTAAAGTGAAAAGTTAAGTAGATCTAGCCTGCAGTGCAGTGCCGATGGCCCGAGTGTCTCTTGACTCAGCTAGAGAAACGTAACGGGTTCTGGCGTTTCCGCCGATTAAATTTCATGTCAGGCCTACTTGCTGCAGATCTATTTTGTGTAGCTTAGTAAGTTAGATCTAGATCTAAGATCTAGTTGGAAGAGGAGTCTGACATTACTGACAATCTTTCAGATTATATAATGTTATTATCACTGTTATAATCAGTTATAATGTGTGCAAAATTATTCTAAACCTGCTCTAGACTAGTCTAGATCTAGATCTATTTCTCCGAACGTTCGGGGAAATAAACTTGGTAAAGTTTTACGTATCCATACTTTGCTGTAGAACACACGTATGGTCACTAAAACCATGATGTTAACGCTCAGTGAGCAAAAGATATTAAACCTACCTAACTGAATTGCCAAAACATCAGATCATTGTTTAATTGGGGGGTGCCCCCCTGAAACCCCCCAGATTCTTTTTAGGTCAAGGGGGCATGGAACCCCCCATATTGTTAAATTTACTATTTTCAAACACATCAATAGCTCAATAACTATTGATTTGCGGCAAAAATAAAGACCATATTCGTGTTAAGCATGCAAAATACTACTGGAAAAGAAGTATATATATAAAACGTGAACATGAGATGGGTGCATAGTAAAAAAAACCAGAACTTTATTTCTCCTCCGTTCTCGAGACTTGTTGATAATAATTGCGAATGGAGTGGCCCGTGTGTGTGTATGTGTGTGAGTGTGTATGTGTGTGAGTGTGTGTGTGAGTGTGTCTGTAGACTGTCTATGTGTAGGTCTGTAGACTGTAAACGTCTACTATGTGTAGGCCTAAGGTGTGAACGCGGGGGGGCGGGGGGATTTTTTTTTTTACATGAAGGATTTTATTTTATGCTGGATGACTAAAATCTAGAATCAAAATGCAAAATATAGGTCTGCCAAGGTCGATCAGTCTTGTTTTCTCGCAGTCCTTTGAAGGCATTTTCAAATGAAGTAGTCTGGGAACGTTGCCCCAACCACAACTGAAGTATCTGAATATTCAGACTTCAGACATTTAAAAATCTCTACCTCTAGAAATTGAATCTGATGCAAAAGATGCGTCTTCCCAGTCCTCGCAGAATCGCAAAATGAAAAATGTCGCCTAAATCTTGCAAATAACCGAAAAATCTCAAGAATGGAAACTGTTCTGAGAAATAGAGTTCAAGGTTATTTTCCCGAATGTTCTGAGAAATAGTCACTTCGATATTTTATTCACATTTGCTGGATTCGGGTAAACAAGTTAAAAATCCGACAATAGAGTTGGTGGAGAAAGATTAGCCTAGTATGTAGGGTTAGCTTCTAGTTTAAAAAGGACTCCCGTAACAAGCAACCACCCTAACAAACACCAGTATAGAATTAGAGAAAAAACATAGATCTAGGCCATCTTCGGTTTTGGCCCCAAGGGTAATGAATAGCCTATCAATAGTAATTTTACATGGGTCAGGGGTGGTCATTCTAAAATGTGAAAAGATGCACGGCGAAAAGATACGAAAAGATATGATATACCGGTCCTAATTTGGGGGGGGGAGGGGTGTCCTGCGCCCTCATATATAATGACCTTATACAGTTGCGAGCACCGTAAAACACTAACCCCCCCAAAAAATAAAAATTCATTTGGAGAGGGTTGCATGGCAAAAATCCGCAAGACTCGTTCAACTACGTAATTTTCCATTTATACACAGTGGTACCCAACGCCATAAAGTAAGGGAAGTCCTTCACATAAATTACATAAAATTAATAATATTCTACTATAATAATGATTGTAAGGCGACAAAAAATAATGAAACATTGAAAGGTTGTCATGTGCCTATCTGGCATTCATCCGAAAGTCTCGGGTGTTCATCATGGCAGAATATAAACAAACTTGTAGGGACCGTAGATGGTAAGGATCACCCCAATTTTGATCAAAATAACCCTGATAATGAGTCTGAAATCTGGAGGGACACAATCAGATGTCTTTTCGCGTATTTACGTGTCTTTTCGCATTTTAGTATGGCTAGTCAGGGGTAAGAGTAGGAAGTAGACTGTAGAGTAGGGTCAGGAGCGGCTTGTGATCTGTAGAACTGACCAGCTATCTGTAACTCACATCGACCCCACCACCCTGCTCACCCTTCATCCTGCCCCCCACCTCCACAACATACACATACACAACGCACACAGACACATACTCTCCTTTTATATGATACCTGTCTACATCTTCACTACTTCCTCCCACGCAAACACACATGCACGCCCGCAGCCACACACAGCCACACACACGCACACACGCATGCACGCGCACACACACACACACACACACACACTAACCAGCACTCTCATCCTCGGTAAAATTCTCACTATGATGTAACATCAGTGGGGAAGATGGCTTTCGCCGGCCTGGCATCTGAGCGGGTATTAGGAAGTAAGCAACGAATAGAACGCATAACAGAACCATGAGTGGCAAAAAATTCAAAAGGCAGGAAAGATTAGAGCCATGCTCAAAGTGAATATAATACTGACACTGACAGTAACTAGAGACAGGTTGAATGTTGATATTACTGATAAAATACAACATACTAAATGTACTGTTCAATACAGTCTTATCTTTCAATTATAAGCAACTGAAAAGCCAATTTGGCAACCTCCTCATGTCCTGTAGACAATTAATTTACGAAATCGCCGGCTTGTCGCGTGGCTTTTGCGCACCGGGTTGCACATCGTAACAGGGAGCTGTGACAACATGTGCGAGCCACCTTTGGTAAAAACTGAAATGGTGGAAAGAATCTCTGTAGTGCTACAACACGTCAGTGATCCCCTGGGGTCTGTTTGAGCGCTTCCAAATCGGCAATTTTTAAAAATGTTGATAAATATTAGACTGAATTTGCTTGAAACTGAATAAACTCCTTATAATGTCATCAATCAGTCTCTCATGTCCTCTGTTTAGCTGACAAAAGGTGGCCTGGGCTGCTGGTCTTGCCCAGTTAACGAACCACCCCTGAGTAGGGTAGTATAGTTTTAGTAGATAGTAAATATATAATTGTTGGGCCAAGCGGATTATCCCGAGTCCTAACTTTAAATGCAAAACCGCAACCCTCTATCCTAAATCCAAACCCTAACCCTACCCTCAACACTTTCCCGAACTCTCTATCTATTTCATAGTTGTTGCTCATCAAATTTCTACCTGGTTTTGGTACGGGTATGGGTTCCCCACGTCAGATCCTAGTCCTACTCTAACACTGGAGTCCTTCCCTCACGTCATCTTAAATTACCCTAATTCAGCGTGAATAAAACATATAGGCCTATGGTACATGTTGACCTACATCTGGAAGATTACACTGCCTAGTTTTAGTTTAAATCAATAGTTTTATTTTTGAATGTGGCCTCTTTAGACTGAATATGTTTAGAGACCAGAGAAAACTATAGGTTTGCCAACAAGCAGGAAGTTTTGTCTACATAGAGGTTGTCCTGCTTAATTATGTGTTTTTAATGTGCTACGTGTGTTAAGCATTGTGTGCTCTATGGAAATTTCAGATTTTTCCTTCTTAACCAGTATATATAAAAATTGATATTGTTGTGATCATTTGGTCCACTAAATAGACCTGCATATCATGTGTAAGAGTGGTGAAAATTTAAAAACATTAAGGAAAAACCCTTTCTGGTCTTGTACTACTACGTTCTTACTTTTACTAACAAACTGTGTTATTATTGTTTCAGTTTGATTGTGAAAGTGAAAGGAACAAAGTCTGAAGATGACGGCAGCAGGTTACGGAACATGGAAATCTCCCATCTCCAGCCAACTGACAACAGCGAGTGGTGTGGATTTAATGCAGCTGCGCACTGACAGTGATCCAAACTTTTCAGGTCTTTATCTCCTTTCCGTCGATTTTTTATTTTGATGCAAGTCTTTTAGAACTGCTATGTCTAAAAAAAAATTGCGTTATCCTCAGGGTATGTGATTTCTCCTGACTCTTAATTTCTTGCAGTTATTTAGAATCTCTTTTAGGGGCTTTAGTGGCCTAGTCATCAGTGAACTCAGGCTCACAATAATGCCAGTATGTCGATGAAACTCTGTTGTGTGGGTCATTTCTATGAGTGTGTTCCCAAGCAAGAAAAGATAAACATACCTAAAAAATAAGGCTGTACAGTGGTGGCCAGCTATCACTTGTTTGAAAGAATTTTTATTCTCAGTTCTATCCAGGTCCCCTGAAAATGGTATTTCATTTCATTCATTAGTTAAGTAATTTTACTGTCACGTTTTGAGGGGCAGAATAATATACGCCAATATCGATATGTTAATATATTATATTTATTCTTTGTCTCAAACTTTGGTGAGTGAAATGTATTATGTCAATTTCTCCTCTAAGGGCTTTCAATAAAGTATATAATATGTCTCATTTTAAAAATTATCACTTCAGACAATGCTTACTGGAATGAGATTCACGCTGACGAGGGTGGACGATATGTCATTTGTTCCTCTGATGCTGCCGGAAACATTGTCCAGTGGACACCCAAGGAGTTTAACGCTCGGACAACAGTTCATGAATATGGAGGTATGCTTATAAATACCTAGTCTTTTTGCTGACAGCTGCTGAGTATTATGGTTACAGACTATGTCAAAGACTTTAAATTTTTGATGTTTGAATTTGCGCAGTCTTTTGGACATTTTGTCCCTGCGTCAGGCTGAAGGGCTAGTACTGGATCGGATAAAGTACCTGCATAATGGTTTACTGAGGATCAATCACTCCACTGCCAGTGTCACCTGTCCCATGTCATGTAGAATTTGATGAAAGTTCAGTTTTCTGTTTATATTTATAAAACCCCTCAATACCTAACCCCCATCCCCCACCTCATCCCCTTAAATTGATGTGAAATATATTTCATGTATGTGTACTGCTTTTTTGTTGAGGTCATGGCTTTGCTTTTGTTGGATGAACTGGAGAAGTGTATAAGGTCCTAAAAGAATTAATGCTTTTCTGCTCAAAAACATAGTTTTCTTCAGTCACTTTAGACTGCTATGTGCGTGTGTGTGTTTCAGGAGGAGACTTCATTGTGTACCAGGGTGTGGTCTACTTCTCCAACTTCAAGGACCAAGCTCTGTACAAGCAGACAAGTCCCACAGCTACTCCAGAACCTCTCACGGACACCTCCAAAAGCTTTCGCTACGCTGATGGCTTCTTCTCACCTAAGGTACTGTCATGTATTATAGAAATCTGTCATGAATTATTGCAGCATGTTCTGTCGCGTTTTTTTAGTGGGAAAGAGCAGTGAAGAAGTGTGACACCCTTTGAGGAGCTGATAGTACTGTAATCACCTAGTAAAGGTGTTCAGAGAGCTTAAGGCGTCTTCTGTGGTAATTTTTTTTTGGGCAAAAGGAAAATAGGACTTTCAGTCATTTCTGGGCAGTAAAAGGGAATGAGAGGCAAAGGCAGATGAAGAGAGAAAGCATCATTTATCAGCTGCTTTTTGCCGGTAGTTCTGTGTTATTTATGTGTGATGTTATTTTTACATTAAAGTAATGATCAGGCACTTTCCTCTTTCCGCTGGGAGCGTCATACAGGTCCTATCCATCCCCCCTGTATTTGTTTAAATGATAAAACTGTGGTGTTCCAGCATCTAAACCTCCTGATGTGTGTGTATGTATTTATTTGTTTAGCAGTCTCTGTGTGATTGGAATAATGTACGGCAGTCAAAGGTTGGTCCTGTGAAAGACCGTGTTCATGAAGTATTATGGTATAAAGTGTATTGAACTTTTATCATTCATAACTGAGAATAATCGTGTAATTTTCTTATGTATACAGAAGTCCCGTATTTTCTATGTGAGAGAGGACCATGAAGTTGTGAAACAAGGTGCCAAGGAACCTGAGAACACCTTGGTGGCCATTGATCCAGCTTCCAAGAAGCAGTCAGTTTTGGTGAGGGTCATGCCAGTGTTTTTTTTGGGTTTTTTTGTTGTTGTTGCAATTTCATATCTCATTTCACTTTGTTTATATTGTTTTTACAAACAGCTCTCAGTCTTCCATCAGGGCCTCATGTCGAAATGAAAAAGTATTCCAGGAGGGATGAGCATTATTGGTTTTAGGTGGGTTGGATCCTCAAACTTTTACTTGTTAATGGTGAAGATTGTATTCCCATGCAACTATTGATGGTCATGTGGTGAAGGCCATGGAAGGTTAACCCCCGAAATGAAGGTTTCTTGAACATTTGAACCTGTCACCCCCCCCCCCCCCCTCCCCCAAGCGTACAAGACTCCCAAATGGAAAACTCTCAGGTCTTTAGATCCCTTCATGGGAGCTTCAATAGCTCCGCAAGTTTCATTCTGAACTACAGCGCGGATGATCCTGGTTCGAATTCTCAATAGGGTATGTTTATATTTTGGCTGTTCAGGAAGTTCTATTTTCACCCACTTGGCTGTGTTGTATCGGAGACTGACTTTAATTTTTGAGGTCCTACTTCGTAATTGACCTTATAATGTCATTAGGGGTTTTAAACTCATACTTCACACGACCCCTTCATGTTGAGGAGTGCATGGGGTGTGGAGAAAAGAAAAAGTGTTAAGTGGCTCTGATAAGCTTCACCAAAACCTTTGTTACATGAAAATAATAGCTCAATAGGTCTTCCCTGTGGGTTAAACAGATTTCATTAAAAGTTTTTTTCTAGAACTGTAACTTATATTAACTACGAGTTTGGATGATAAGTTAACATTTTGCCCGGTCTGTTCATGTTACAGATTTGATTTACATATGTTCATGTCCCCAGTGGGCATCTGTGGTGTAGTGATAAGGTACTTCTTTGTTGCACACAGAAGACTTGTTTGATTCCCACATGGGGACAATTTTTATCAAACGTTGCAGTTGTTCTGGTACGATAATCTATCTCTCTCTGCTGTGATTGGCCCTGACGGGTGGAAGTTGAAGCCCACTTCCTAAATGATCTAAATTGGGTCGATTGAAACACAAAAACACCTACATTCTTTTTTAAAATTATTCTCCTCAGGTCAAAGGAGCTGATTTCTATTCATGTCCAAGAGTGTCACCAGATGGCAAAAAGATTGCTTGGGTCCAGTGGTACCACCCGAATATGGTATGACATCCCTCCGTTTTGGTTTTTTTTTTGGACTGTGCTTTTGGCTAACATATACCATTGTATCAGCATCCTGTTGTTAAAGGACCCATGATACAACATCACAATTTTATCAGGACATTCATTATTTATGACATGTCTTATCTTCTTTTATTTTGAAAACAAAACATCTATCAATTCTAAGATCACCATATCCCTTTTTACTCTTAGTTCGGCATTTTTGCAAATTTAGTCTGTCTGACTTCTTTTGTCATTATGATTGCTGTTTCGTCTTTGATAAAAAATTTTAGACCAACATAGTTATAGCAGGGTAACTATTGTATGGTCCCTCCATCGTTTAGTTCTTTACTATTCATTCTGTTGTGAAATGTATCCTGCCAAAATTTTTGTCATTTCTTGCTAATGTCCCACTTATGCTAATATAAGTGCTGATTTAGTTTGCTTTTCTTTGCTATCTGTACTTTTCACAAATACTTATAGAATGAAAATTAGTTTGTAGAATACTTTAGTTTTCTGTTTAGAGACAGTTAATATTTATGTTATGATACTGTTGTCTCTTTCCATTGCTAGGTTTTGCAATATTGTTTTCAATTTATCTCCTCCCATGACTCACTAAACATATCTTTTACTTGCAGCCCTGGGATAGCACAGAGGTCTGGACAGCTGAGTTGTCTGCCAGTGGAGATGAGATTGTGCCTGGTTCTGCTGTCAAGGTACAGATTGTTGTACAAAGCCCTGGAATTGAATGTTGTGGAGACTGTACTCCGAGAAATAAGTTTCAGTAACTATATTAGTTTATTGTCTCCTTCTTCACTGATAGATTATTTGGGAGGGGATTACCTCTGAATGAAGTTTCCATCTCTCATTAGACAGACCAAAGTGGACTGGGAGCCTTATAACTCACAAAGTAATCAAAGTTCAAGAATGCTGCTTTGAGGATTTGAACCATGAACACCCACACCACATGTCAACATGATGTTTACATATAAAGTTACCTGGCGGTCCGATGAGTCGGGTCTGTCAGGGGGCCCCCGGTCTAGGATAGATGTTTCCTGGTCGTGGTTCTGTGTCCGACTCTTTCAGTGAGTGTCTCTCAGACCATCTCTGCCTTTTTTCCCCGCGGCTCCTTGTGAGGTCATCCAAGGGCATGCTACTCCTTTGATTATCTTGTCCCCACAGTAAAGATAAGAGTCCTGTCCCTTGACATCACATCCACCGAGTTAATATTGTGTGCAAAAATGATTGCTACTTGTGGGTCGTTTAGATTTGATTGTGTTTAAGACCATGTTTTTAAATTTATGCGTATTATCTGAGACGAAGGGTACTACAAATTTTCATTTTTTGTGTGTGTGTTTTTAGTAGTTCCCAAGTGGTTACAAGTGGTCTTTAAGATTTTTACTTTTTGATTCCTTCAGAATTTGTTATGTTTAATATTGGTTAGGCTTAAAATTGTTGTTTGTGAGTGTGAGGCAGCATTGTGAAATCAGGCACTTGTCAAAATAATGAAAGTGGAGAAACAGGTATTTTTCCACAGGTTTGGTGATTTTTATCCAATTTTTTTTTGGGAGGGGGGCTCAACACCTTTTATGCCCTTTAAAAATGCATTTCCATGTAGATTTTACTGGAAAAAATTGATTAAAAGCATAAAAGATGTAAATTTTTGGTTTCCACAGGCTCTCAAGCTAAGTAAATAACTAAACTTTAGCAGCCATTTATTCGCTAATTTTACCTCTGAAACCAGGTGAACCCGCCTCGTGCAATCGACAATATCTCGACTTGTATCCAAAATAATTAGGTATCTTTTTCATCAAAAGCAAGGCAAATAAACAAATTTTAAGATGATACTTATAACTCCATAAGCCAAAGAATTGACAAGCGCCTGATTCTATCACGTCGTGACACATTTTTAATTTGTAACCAAATCAAAATGAAATAAGATTAAAACCAAAAAAGATTTTTAAAGTTTCGTGGTATATTTGTTGTATTTTTTTTTCATTTTGTTTGACTTTTGAGATAAAAATTTTTTTATATCTCTATTGTAAAGTATCTTCTCCTGTCCTTAGGTAGCGGGAGGTACAGATGCCTCTGGTCAAGACCTCAGTGTGTTGTTGCCCAGTTGGACTGCCAACAACGAACTGCTGTACATCGGAGATCAGACCAACTGGTGGAATCTGTACCATGTGACCTCGTCAGGTCATGTCAATCTGCGACCAGTGGAGGCGGAGATAGGTGGACCACAGTGGCAGTTTGGTCGTACTTCCTACGTGCAAGAGCCTAATGGAGGCTCTAGGATTGCTACTTCTTTCAAATCGGTAACGTATTCTGTTGGGTTTTGTTAAATTTAGACTGATCTGTGATGAGGATGGAGTGGTTGTGGTGGTATTTCTTAATTTTGTAAGTCAATAATTAGCTCCTCATATGGAAAACTTTCGAGAATCGCCCTTGCGCTCTTTCCTCAAATTTGGTGGGACTGATTATTCTCACAGACTGGTAAAACTGATCCTCTACCATTTTCTGATGATGAAAGATGTGTCTTGTAATATATAACTTTTTAACTTGTAGGTATTCCTGTACGTAATGCTATTTCCTCATTGTGTCTTTAATTTGCCTCATTTGGGGTATTTTTTTCTTCTGATTTTGGCTGGATGGAGGAAATGAAATCTGTTTTTGTGCTGCAGGAGCTTGGAATGTTGGACACCAAAACTGGATCCTACCAGAAGATTGACACAGGGTTTGAGTCCCATGACCGCATGGGCTGGACATCGGCCGGTTCCTTGTACATGATTGTCTCCAGCCCGACCAAGTTCCCACAAGTGATCAGGGTGGATGTCAAGACTTTGGAGGTGGGTGGAGTCAAATGACATCTATAGGTGTTCCCTTTTTAACACTTTACAGTCACTCAACCAGCATCCAAAAAACCCCAACTGGTCACCCAGCCAGGAGAGCGACTGCAACGGACTTCTTGGGTCTGGTGCAGAAGTGCGCCAGGTGACCGGAACGGATAATTTTCACCGGCACATTATTGCGCCAAGTGACTGCCAAGTGTTGATAAGTGTGTCAGGGGGCTCTCATGGTTTAGAGGTTTAGGTGTTCGCCTCTCTTTCAATAGGTCCCAGGTTTGAGCCCGGATGGTGACGGAAATTTTTTTTTCTCTAAATTGTCTCCTTTCACCTCCTTTCCTGCTCTGTGGCAATTTATTGTCGTCTGCTTTCGTCTCCACTTTCTGCCCCCGCCCCCCTCACCTCCTTTGCCCCCTCCTCTGGGCTCCTGACCCTTTCTGCAGCCTTTCTACTGCTATTCCTTGGTTCCTTCTTACTGCTGTCTTTCAGCCACATCCCTGATCTTATCGTAGGAAGGATCTACACCTAGCCTCCTCGGATAAGGGTGAAAAATCTTGGAGGTCTCATGTGCATATCGCGCAAGTTAAAGATCCCTTGGTGGTCCAAAATCGAATAGAGTAGGCTTCGGCGGCCATCCGGGTAAAATTCAAAATTTCCTGCCAACTGAAAATGTTTAATGTGTCCCACTCGGTCATATGACCTTAAGCAGTTGCGACCGCCATAAAACACTTACAAGAAACATTTAAAAAAAAAAAAGTCTGATAACTCCTTATCTCAGGCAAGCCTTTCCCAGCGGCTTGTGGCGGGAACTTCTATGCTGGTGAGCCACTGGTAGCGGCTCTGGCACATTCCTTTACATCCAATTTGAAGTCAAATTACTTTTCAGCAAGTGCCGAAAACTGGCCTCTTTTGCCGGGAGTTTATTCATTAGATGAAAAACTATCAAAATAGGCTCACATGTTTTGATTTAATTACTAATTTAATGAAGTATATGTCACTTTTTAATTTCGTACCAAAAGAGGGCCCCGACGTAGTGGGTTTACCCTGTCTGCGAGATAAAGAATTAATTCCTGATTGTCACAAGGTTATTTGTTCTCAACTCTTTATCTCCGGCAAGCCGCTCCCGAAGGCTTGCGGTTGGAACCCATCTGCCGGTGAGCCACTGACAGCAGCTCAGGCGCATTCCTTTGTAACGACTTCGACAGCAAATTACTCTTCGGCAATTACTAAAACAGGTCTCTTATACCGGAAGTTGATTCATTAGATGGAGAACTATCACAATAGGTTTGCTAGTTTGGATTTAATGACCCATTTAATGACGTTTTTGTCATTTTAAGATATAGCACCAAAAAAGGCCACCGGCGTAGTGGGTTTACCCCCCTCGGGGATAAAGAGTTAAACTAGTGAGTGCTTGTATTTCAACTTGCTTTGTGGCTGCTGATCATTAACTCCTAGCCTCAAGCTTGTTGATATATAATGTCTTTTATCATGTTAATACCAATTGTCAGTTTTGGATTTACTTTAATTTTTTCCTATATTTCTAAGCTGCATGAAAATCTATTAGTGTCCCAAGAGCTTTTCTGATTTAAAATACACTTTTGTTTTTGTAGCAAAACTTTTTATCGTTCTCCTATAAAACCCTTGAACATGTGGGGACACAGGAAGAGGTCTGCTCCGTACACTTTCAAAGATGTGATTCTTAATTTTTTTTTTTTTTCTCAAACTATTATCCCAACAAACATTGCATATAAGAAAGCTGCTACTTGCATAAATAAAATTATACATAGGTTTCTACTAGACTGAGGTTCCAAATTGCTTAGAAACATATAGTAAATCAGACTCAGCCAGTCCTTTCCCTTGCAAAGATTGGAAGTACTTAGGTTTGAACCTGAGAACGGTGGGAAAGGTCTCTCTGCCTTGTATACCTTGAACATGAGGCTTATTACTCTGCTTTGGAAGTGGCCAATTTTAGGTCGAGTACAGTTTTAAACTCTGAACTGCAGCTGATGGAGTGGCAGCAGTAACTACCAGCTTGTAACCTATGTCCAGGTGACGGTCATTTGTGTGTCCATGTCTCCCCCTGTGGACAGCGCTCATTTCAGCATACCCCAAAGGATCAGCTGGCCAACCTCACAAGGCGAGACGTGCCACGGATTGCTCTACAAACCAAAGAACAAGGACTTCATTGGAAAGCCAGGTGAGTGTGCTGTGTGGAAAAAGTTGAGTGGGGGGGGGGCGGTGGGTGTTTGAGGAGGAGGTTGAAGAGTGCAGGGGGGGGGGGGTTAGTTGCTTTAGAGAACCGAACTAAGTTCACAATGTTCTTCAATTGTAGTTTTAGTTCCTAAAGGATTCTTAGTCATGTAAATGTTTTCCTAGGTTCTCTTACAATTCAATAATGATAGCTCTTCAAGCTAACCAGAACCTGCTCACCAAGGCAAAACTGAAAAATAGTTGGAATTCTATACTTTTTTATTTTATGTTGAATTTCAAGATGTTTTTATGTGGTCTGACTGATATTATTGTGGTTGATACATAGTCGGTTATCTTTCTCACAGATGAGCTCCCTCCCGTGCTGGTTCGGGCTCATGGAGGTCCCACTGGAGCTTTCTTCAGTGCTCTGGACCTGAAGATCCAGTACTTCACCACCCGAGGCTTTGCTGTGCTCTGTGTGGACTACAGGGGCAGCACAGGCTATGGAAAACTCTACAGGAACAGGCTGAGGGGACAGTGAGTTTGAATCACAAGGCTTTCTATATCCAACTTCTATTTCTTTTGTGCTGTTTTTTTTTGGGGGGGGGGAGTTTACTTTTTATTGTTTAGTTACCTTGAACTGAATGTTTTTATTTTTGTGCTTTTTCTGGATCTTTAGTTCATTTGAGTTAATGAAAGTTTATTTATACTTTTTAGTTCAAGATTTTGATTGATTTTGTCAGATCAGCTATGCATATGAATGTTAAAAAATCTAGTATGCTTTTATAAATAAGCTTGAACCGGGGTATGAAATTTTTAAAAATGTTCTCTCACAACTGTGAGCCCAGTTACATTTTCTAACTGTAGGTTTTGGGGGTAGGCAAAATATGTTATCAAAAGTTCCGCATTTCTTAGAGAAATGATGTAAAGTTTGTCACACGTTGCAGTAGTCTTTATGGTTGTTTTTCACCTCCTTGCTAGGTGGGGTGTATTGGACATAGACGACTGTCGTACTGGAGTGGACTACTTGGTAAACAAAAAACTGGCTGACCCGGCACGAACTTGCATCGATGGACGGTCTGCTGGAGGCTATACGACCTTGGCTTGCCTCACTTTTACGAATGTTTTCAAAGTTGGTCAGTGATGGTTCAAATACCTGTCTTGAAGTATAGCGCATGGAAGTTTGTCAGTTTTGTTGATGATGACAATGGGTTGGGTTTTTTTTACATTTATCATATCAGTTGACATGCAGTCATATTCCTTGGTGTTCTCAAATATTAGACTAATGTTCCTCCTTTGGTTAAAAAGTGCTTCAAGCTTTTGAACAGTAACAAAGACGATAAATGGAGTTTACATCTTGCTTTCTATACTAACACTTAGCCCCCTGTGGTAATATACAAGCTGTAGTTTTTGGGAGATTTCTTTTCTGTTTTTTTATGGCCTCATTGTTTGGGCTTTTGCAAAATGAGGAGTGTGTCCAGGAGAAGTGAGTAGCCCTTTTAAAACATGTATTGAATTTTTTTTTTTTTATTTCAGTCGTAACATGGACAATGATTTAAAACTTCATTCCACTGCAAACATTTTAGGATGTTGTATTAACCCTTAGAGTGCTGACTTCTTTCCCCTTATATTTTCCCTCTGTGCTGAATTTATTTTGGAAAAACGCCAGATTCGCATGTACGCTTTTTTTTGCTAATAACTTTTTTATTTGTCAAAATTTCTAATTAGGTTAAAATAAAAGTTTTAGAATATTGAAAGTTCTTTATGAATATGTGAAGCAAAAAGTATTTTTTGCTGTTATTGTTGTGGTAGTGGTGTTGGAAATGACTGAATAAAAACTGCCAGTACATTAGATATCTAGATCTAGACCAGAGTCTAGATGCTTCGTAGGCCTACATTATATTCCACAAAGTGTTTGCCCTCGAAATCATCTTCCGATTCAAGGAAAATACGCGAAACATCTTCATTTGAATCTGATGCGACACTATTTTCATGTTTGTCGCGGGTCGCAATCGCGAATTTTCCAACTTCACTGTCACTCGACTTCGACGTGAAACTAAAAACTCCTCGCAACTCGATCGAACCCTGTGACAAGAAAAATGGCGAGCGAAATCAATTCTGCGTAGCCTACCAGCCAGCAGTATAAAAATTAGTACTTCGTTCTTTTCGTACATCGCGTTATACTATGCCAATGTCTATCGCGACCTCACCAATCAGCACTTTACGGAAGTTCGGACCGTGGTCGCGATCAGCACTCTAAGGGTTAACACCTTATGATGAACCTCTTTTGTCATTTTGTCCCAATGTCTTGCTGTGTTATTCAGTGTATGTCTCCGATACTTCCCAGGAGTCAGCCATTTTGGCGTCAGTGACCTTGAAGCGCTAATGGAGGAGACTCATAAATTTGAGAGCCGTTACCTGGACACCCTTCTGGCACCGCTGGACAAGGGAGGCCGAGAAATCTGTCGAGAGAGGTCACCGATTCATTTTCTTGACAGAATCAACTGCGCCGTAGGATTTTTTCAAGGAGATGAAGACAAGGTAATGGATTTATTGTGACAGGATTTTAAGGTTTTCTGTTTGTCTTTTTTAAGATATAAGTGTTTTACACCCCTATTGACACAATTTAGGCTTCGATTCAGCCTGTCAGGACCAACACAGGCTGAGAGGGATACAACTCAACAGAAAGACCGCGATACCAAATAAAAATCCCCCCCCCCATATGGGAATCAAACTTGAGTCTCCTGCTTGTGATGGCAAAGTGCCAAACCACTACAGCACAAATGCCGATAGTGCAATTCTGAGTGAGAGTCAGTGCTTACACGCTTCCGTATTTTTACGGAAATCCGTACTTTCTGCTAGTTCCGTACTTGTTCCTCCATCATTTGTTCCTCCATCATTATCAACTCCCTCTGTAAAAATCTGCGACAGCGTAGGACTACCGAAATTCTGTAGCAAAAGATCCGTACTCGCCTTCATATCATCTTGTATAAGTTACAGATATTTACGGTAATTCTCTCAGCAATAGTTTATGTTATAGAAACCTGCCCGATTGCGCATTTCCTGCCATCGGCCAATATTCCGCTATGTCCCATGCATTAATTGCGGGTTGGTCGGCAGTACATATTTTACTTGCAGATTGATCAAAATCTGGCGAACTTTTTGTGCCTCTTTCCTCCTTTCTATCATTCCCTCATTCCGTCTGTCTATCTTCGGATTGTTGCCGGGTTGGAAAATCTGCATGTTGATCAAGTATATTGACTTGTGATCTTAGACAGAAAATTACTGTCAGAGAGAAACTTTTTTGCAAATTTATTGTCTAGATCTAGAGAAATTATCAGTGCGAAGATTCTACGGCTCGGGAACGCAATAAGGGCAGCGATGAAAGAAATTTGTGCTAAAACTACTAAAATCAAGAAAAATTCGAAGTGCTGCTACGAGGTTGTGACATGCGACATTCAGACATGAAAATTAGGGAAGGCCTATATGCTGGGTAACTGTATTGTGAAGGTACATATCTATTCATTGTTCCCAGGTTTGCCTTGTATCAATGGTGCGATGACTAATTAATACAATTATAGTAGCAATGGAAGGGGAATCTGCTTTTAAACATTGCCAGCAATTGGAAGATATGTTGGTGAAGAACCAAACAAGACAAAATCTTAGTGAAAAAAATAAGTAGTATGGGTTGATGGTAATCTCTTCAAACAGGCTCCCCAATGCCATTTTCATCCCTCTAAAAGTACTAAATTTCTATTTCTTCAGGGGCTTCGCCCCCTTAGCCCCCACCGGGACGCTGTCCCAGGACCCTTCTGGGCAATGGCAAAGCGTCTATATAATCAAATAATCACTGCTTCCCTTCCTAATTTTGAAACATTGTCGCAGTCAAATTCACCCATAGACGTAAACCTCGTAAATTAGATTATGTAAAAAGACGTTCATAATCACCAATCAACAGTATGCCTAACATTCAAAACGGTTTCATTGCCACAGAAATAGCCTATTCACCCCTATCAGGTCACTCCATGAGCAGTCACAGGCTTTGATTAAATAAGCTTACTGTGAGGCTGGAAGAGTCTACCAAAAGAGCTGAAGGGAACATGTATACAGCTCTCAAAACTGTTTCATTGCCACATATACCCTGTTCACCCCTTTAGGGCCACAGTCATAAGCAGTCACAAGCACTGATTATGAAAGCTAACTATTACACCGGTCGAGTTTACCTCACAGATGTGAGGAGCACTAACTCCTAATAATATCTTGACTGCTGCGAGTTCTTGTTTTTTTTCCTCGACTTTTTACTGTCCTATAATCAGATCATGACCTTGTTTATGACACCGGCTCCTGCCCGCGAAATGCTAGACAAAAACAGCCGAATGTGAAATAAAATGTTAATAATTGTCATGTTCCACCAAAGAGTTTAGACACACTGGTGTTAAATAAAGAACTGACATCTCTGCTTCTTTGCTTTGTGTTTGTGTACATGTATTCACATCTAAAGATAAATTTAAAGTTTGTTTAGAATAATATTTAATGAGATACTTTCCCGATTATTTTAGCGGTTGAACATGCATACAACATGCATTCAGGATTTGTTTTCATTCACAGCTCAGTGTTGCCGCCTCCAGTAAGATTCTTGTGTGATATCTCCAGGCCCTATTGGGTCCCACCTCACTTTGATTAAGCTGTCAAGCAAGTCAGTCTTGGCCCCTCTGGTGGGGGCCGCAGAGGCCCCCAGACCCCCCAGCAAAATGTTCCTTACTTTTCAGCTTCAGCTGGTGGAAGTACTGGAGAGTACTATTGAGATACCATTGAAACTGACTGATGTGGAATAAATCTTTTATGTCTATTGTGAACCTTTTTAATTAGTAAGTGTTACTTTATTCAAACTTGATGAATTTATGCTCTGTCAGCATCATTCTTCAAGTTTTCTTTTTTGTGTGGCTGTGATGCTTCAGACCAGTTCACAAAAGGTGCCATGGTTGTGTTCCATTTGTCAATCAGCAGGCTTTTGAGCTTCTTTTCTTTTGTGAAAAGTAGGCCAAGTGACACGTACGTTTGTTGCTCTTGTAAGAGTGTAAAATAAATGTTATGCCAATAGCATGAGTATGTTGCACTAAAATGTTCAGTCAACGTTATGCAACTTGTTAGAAGAGAAATAAAATAAGATGAGATTAAGTTAAAAAAAAACAACACCCACTCTTGCAAAGAAACGTCTCTATGGAGACAGGCTAGGTTGAGAGAACACACTTTAAGTCTTATCTTTTCTGTTTTTTAAAAATATATAATTAAGGGTATCAACCCATCGCGAGGGTATCGCGACTAGTCGCGTATCTCGACTGTCCCTCAGAGGTTATAGTCGCGATCTTGCACTCGGGCACTTGAGACCCGATTTTATGTACGGAAGCACCAGAAATGATTTAAGCTAAGTTATACTCTTTTCAATGAAGATTTTCCTAGCATTTCCTGCCCCAAACAAGATTCTAGACCCAGAACTGAAATAGAAAATGAACAGTCTAGGAATTTGTTTACATCAGTCAGGCCTAAAGCAGTAATCGAACCTGAAATGGCTGCAAATGAATGTTTGCAACCTGTTCCAACACATTTTATCGGGATAGTAGTGATTCAAGAGGAAAAAGACTACGCTTCAATGCAAAACTGTGAGGATGTATAACCCTCCGTGTCCGTGGCTGCTTTGAATTTTATCACAGACACTAGGATTAGAAGAAATTTGACACCACAACATCTGGACTAACACACAGGCACAGACACTCTGACAAACTAGCAAATTAAATCTATGGCATGATATTGGTTTTTTTCTGTTTTTTCTTCGCTTAATTTCCAGTTCAATGATGTTTGGTTCATATTTCTATCTTAAAATATAAGGACGTTATAAGCATTTTTCATGACCGACCCTAATTTTTATCAACTTATCAAATTAATTCACCTCGGGGGGACTGGACAATGCAAATTAATTCACCTCTTGAAGGGTTAATAAAGTTTATCCTTCAAGTACTGTACATAAACTTCATCTCGTCTGCAGATTGTGCCCCCTAACCAGGCTCAGATGATGTATGATGCCATCAAAGCCAAAGGACTGCCTGCCATGTTCGTCTTGTTCCAAGGTAATGTTTTGATTGTAGCTACAAGAATTTAGATTAGATTCGAAAAAAATGTACTGTGGAGTCTGCTTAAACCAAACACTTTTAACCCCTTCGCTGATTTTCTACTAACTTCTAAGCTCATTAGCTTGGACAGTTGTCTCATGTCTCAGTGTTAATGGACTCGCTGTCTAGATCTCGACCACTCGAGACATATTTTGGACCCTGGGTCTTTGATTGTGAACCTTTCCTCATTCCCTATATCTCCCATCTAACTCATAATTTTGAAAAATTTGCATACAGCAAGTCTACTGACACTGAGATACGAGACTGTTGTGCTGGCTAATGGACCTAGCTGAAAATCAGTGCTGACAGTAGGAACACACATCCCCTGGCAGCAAAGGGGTTAACGGCAGCTTGTGAGGAGTCAGATCCAACCAACAAAGTGTTACAACAGTTAGAAATCTCAGATTATTTTATATCCTATAATAAAGAAAACAAATTAGCAAACCCTTTTGCTGTTGTTGAAAACAGGAGTGACATCTTTGAATGTCACTGCATGTAGCCATAAAAGCAAAGTTTATGTTACTGAAGGATGTTAATGTTGTTGTTTTTTTTCAACAATTATCCTCTTGCTTGCTCGTGATCAACTTCCTATAACTAGGTGAAGCCATAATTATGAGCGTCTGTTGGAATTATTTTTCAGCGAACCTCAATTTATGTGAAAAGGAACTCAGAAAAAGTGACAATAGATGTCTAAGTAACAATGGTAGTAATTCTAGCAAGAACTATGATACTGTGTCTTTGTATTCTTCATCTTCTGACACAAATATTTGCATCAACGATGACATCAGTATTTCTGAGATCAGAAATACAATGACTCTGCCTCCCCTTTTGAAAGACTAAATTTGCAAGAGCCTTTGGTCTCACAGAAAGTCTGTAACAGTCTTGAAGAAACTAACAATTGTCAAAACTTTGTGTCTGGCATAATTCTTTCAGTGTAATATCTTCAATAAAGATCATTTTAATGATATTTTAAATGCAGAATAGTTAACAATTATTTCCTATCGAGTAATTTTTTTGTGGGTTATATGACATTATTTGCTTATGATTTTTTAGTCACATTCTTTTGTCCTACTTCTTGTTGCTTTATTGTGCAACTTTTGTCATATTTTGAATCAAATGTGATTTCAGGAGAGCAGCACGGATTTCGGAAGGCTGAAAATATTCAGACCTCCCTGGATGGAGAGTTCTATTTCTTCGGCAGAGTTCTTGGCTTTGAGCCAGCGGACAAGGAAATTGAAGTAGGAAGTGATCTTGATATTATTCCTCTTTCTTACAATGGTTTTGTTTTTCTTCCTTTTTTCTCTATATTTCTTTGAAAGTTAAGTTATCCTGTTATAATGTGAACCACCTGTGTTACCCAAGATGAATACGTATTAATTGGCCACATTTGTATTTTTTGGATTTATTTCGCAATAGGGAAATCACATTATTTTGTCCACAGCACAGTCTCAGAAAATCCCTCACATTGCTCAATTTTTAAATCCCAGTAGTTCAAATCTTACGCCAGGCTGGCAGCAAGGTCTGTATGTGTATGGCACCCTTACGATGTGGGCTCTGTGAATTTTGAAACATAAAGTTTCTGTCCTGTTTTGAACATTTTTTTTTGAGCACCAATGTATCTCACGCTCAGCAAATAGATTCAACGTTACACCTTTGTCTTGAGCTGAAGATCTCAGGGCCTTGTTTTCTTTTGTCTGGTTTGGACATAATTTGATTTGTTTTTAAGTTCTACACCTCCTTTGCATAACCTCAATTTGGCTATTTTAATTGAGAGGCAGGCTGCTTCCTCTTCCTCACCACACACTAGGGACCATCTGGGCTTTGCGAAATCAGATCGGAAGGACTGAAATTAATGTTGGAGAAAAAATACTTTCACGTTTTGAATTTGAAGTCATGTCTGCTGCTTGCTAGACAAAAGACTTTATCATTACTACACCACAGACATTGATGTTTGTGACTTACATGTTGTGGGGAAGGTGACCTCTGGCAGTGTGTCCTCTGTGGTGTTTGTGTGTCCTGCAATGGCAGTCACCGTAGAAGCATTAATTTTTTGTTATAATTTATTATTCTTGAGAAAGTCAGTTTCTATACAAAATTGAGTTGTTCCTTTCATTAATTTTATTGTTTCCACAGCTTCCGATTGTCAACTTGTGAAGTCTTGGGACAAAACTACGGTGAGGGAAATTTCTACACAGAAAGCGACATTGACCCTCCAGACAATGGCCGCCACAGCCGCAGAGGAAGGTGATACATATATTTTGGAAGTGCCATTTTTGGCAGTTTATATTTCTACGGCTGCGAGTGTATGAAAGATTTTGTATTTGAGGTTTTCATCATAGAGGAAAGATTTGATGAAGTTTTTGGCTGAAATGAAACTGACTCCTACTAAATTGCTATCACTGTATAGTGAGGTCATTATTTAGCTGTATTTACTCTAGTAGGTATTGTACCCCATCATTTTGTTAATTTAGTTAGTTGACTAGATGTAATACTCCAGTTGTTTTTGGGTTTTTTTTTCTTTTTTATATTCTGCCCGAGGACAGTTGAAACTTTCTATGATGTTTGTGTATTGGGAGATTGTCATTTCTGAATTTTGTTTTTTTTATCAAAATTCTTATACAGACATACAGTCTTTTATTGACTTTTTAGTTAGCATTCTTTTTTCCCTTTTCTTTTTTGTGTATGCCTTGAAATAAAAATATTGCTTGCCTTTGTACTCCTTACAGAGGATTGGCTTATGACCTAATTGTTATAAGTCTTACCTTGGATTGGTTGACTATTTTCAATTGTATTACAGCTAGTGAGTAGCCTACTAATATTAATTTTATTATCTGAAGGATCATAAGAGTCTTACGTCTTTGACTTTGTATAGTATAATCAAGATCACTATAACCTGTGAGTATCCTTAATATGAACAACAAAGATTCAGTAATCAGATGTCTTTAAATTATGCACTGTTAATCCAATTACGGGCAAGTGACGATGAGATTGGCTTTTTCTTTGCCATCAGACTGTAACTCTGAAAATGGTCTACATGAACCCCTGAAATACTAATGCTGAATGAAAGTGCACTAATTTTGAAAAGAAGGACTTCCTGTAGTTATTGGAATTCTTTGTAAGCCAGAGGAACACAAAAGATTGTCCATTATTTATCTTAGAATGACAGCCAAGACTCTGCAAGTCAATGGAAATGACTGTGTCGGATCCTCGGCAGTTTCTGAAATTTCTGGCAGATTGTAAATGTCGAAATCCGAAAAAAATTTTAAGCCTATGTTATAGCTTTTTCAAAGAGCTTTCCAAATATATACAGCTTTCTGGTTTCTGTATTTATCATATGTACTCACTTTTTATGTCTAAAGGTGCACCCTTGTTCCTAAGACTTTCCCCTGACGCAGTGCAAGTTTACCACCGACGGTAGTGGGGTTAAATTACTGCAAAATGTGCTCTCCTCGGTTTTTCTACTTTGGTGTATATCACATTTACATGTGTTTGAGTGCCAATCAAATTTTTTGTTCTGGTGTGTTGATGTCTTAAGTAAAGGTGGGAGGGGGGGGGGAGATGGTGATTTTGTCCGCTTGATACTTACAAATTTTTTTTTCTTCTGTTGATAATCGGGAGGCATTCAGAGTCGTTTGAAATATTACTTTTGGGAAATGTTCTGGAATTCCAGAATTATTGAATGTCACTTGCTTTATTTCCTTTTCGAGACACTATATGTGAGGCAGCATGGTGAAATCAGGCGCTTGTCAAAATAATGAAAGTCAGGAAACTGGCAGTTTTTCCACAAGTTTGGAAATTTTTGTCGAATTTTTGTTTTTTGGCTCCTCACCTTTCATGCCCATTAAAGAAGACATTTCTGTGTGGATGTGACTGAAAAGCATTGATTAAAGGCATAAAAGATGTACATTTTCAGTTTCCACGGACTCTCAAGCTCAGGATATAATTCAACTTTGGCGGCCATTTTCTCGCTCATTTTACCTCTGAAACCAGGCGACCCCCACCTCTTTCAATAGCCAATATCTTGACTTGTATTCAAGATAAATGGATGGTTTTATTTCATCAAAAGCAAGGCAAATGGATAGGCTTTAAGATCATACCAGTAACTCCATTTGCCCCAAAATTGATAAGGGCCTGGTTCCACTGCGTCTTGACACATATGTTTCCATCTGTAAAATTGTGATATACAGCTGTTTTTATATATAATTCTTTTGCCTTATTCCTGAAGGATCAGAATATCTGACTTTTTGATGCTCATAGAATTACAAATGTTTTTGTTGCAAATAACATGGCTGAATATTTGATTTGATTTATTATGAAATGCTCAATTTCTTTCCCAACTGTTTTTAAACGTTCCTGCTTAGATTTACCGAGGTTGACCTTTACATGAATTCTCCTGTGGCCTAGATTGACCATTAGGTCCATTGTTGCCCGATAGTTTACATTTCTCTATCAGGATTTTCCTATAGCTAATTATGAAGGAAGTATTGTTCAAATGACATTTTCAGCGAGACTTGTGGTTTGACCTTATCTTCCAGTTTCTACAGATATTTTTAGATTCACTGTCGGGTTACTAAAGCTATAAAGAAAGTTGAGGTTCTTTGATGCTTTTTCGAAGTGTAATTAAGATCACTACTGTAGTGCTTACTCCCTTGTGGTTTAAGGCGCTTCCTCAAAAAAGTAAAATTTGTATCAACGTTTCATGTATACTGGCCCATTCAACATACAATTCTGGGTCAAATACATGGTATACACGATTTGTAATCTGACGAAGAACACAGACACAAAAAAATAATCCCTGTGGCTACTGATCACATTTGCTGTTTAAAAAAGAATAAAACTAGTAAAATGATATAAATGAATGTTTTTAGACCACATTTAAATGCTTGAATCTAGATTTTATAGATGTCTTCCGTAATGATGGTTTATTTGATCACGATAACAAAAAAGGGACAGATTAAATGAACAAGAAGCTAATGCCTAGTCATAAAAATAAACAGGACACTGGTGAGGATTTAGATATAAGTGATATAGTTGTTAGGTCTGACAGCGAAAATGAAGCTAGAGCTAAAACTAAGACTCATTCGCCAACCATCCTTGACCAACCAGATAACAGGGATAGGCCCCGAAGCATTGACTGCTTAAAAAAAATGTTTACTCTATAATCTTTAATCTATGTTTTCCAGTTTATTTGATATTTTCATCATATATGGTACCTTTGGAAGACTTTTTAAAAAAATTGTTTAGTTTTGTTCACATAATTATACTTCTTCTTTTTAATGGGAGGGTAATTTTCTCAACATGGCCTAAGGCAGGATTGAGTAAATCAAACTTTGCAATGAGCTTTGTTGAATGTCTGCTCCTTTTTCTTATTTCACTTTTTTAAAGCTCAATTCGCGCTCGCAACTGTTTTTTCAACCAGTCTATCTCGTTTGAATGGCTGATTGGTATTCTGGTGTAGTTACTCTTTTTACTGTTATATAATATGGTCAATTTTTTTCTCTTTTTACTGTTATATAATATGGTCAATTTTTTTCTCTTTTTACTGTTATATAATATGGTCAATTTTTTTCTCTTTTTACTGTTATATAATATGGTCAATTTTTTTCTCTTTTTACTGTTATATAATATGGTCAATTATTTTCTCTTGCAATTATCTTCAATCATGCTGTCTAATGTGGGTGGTTGGTGGATGGTCTTTCATGGTTTTCTCTTTTTTAAAAGTAATTTCTACTTGTCATTACATTAATCTGCTTGTGGCACATTATAACGCTGTGACTGTGAGTAGTTTCATGGACAGTCTTTTCTCAATTGCACACTGAAAATGTTAGTTTGCTTCCAGCATCTGTTTCTTGAATATCTGCATCTGTCTTATGGATTATTACATCCCTGGCAGTCCATGTGGCCCAGATGGGTAAGTTTGAGAAGCCTGCCTCCTGTGTGATCTAAATTGTGGAAAAGACAGCAAAAACCATTTACCTTTAGTTACAATCGATCACTGTCATAAATTCCCTTTGTAATGAAAACTGTTCTTTTTGAATTCATTAACATTCATTTTCTATCAAGCTGAATAAATAAAGCCAAAAATGAATAATACTTTTGTTTTTGTTCAATCTTTATTGTTAACAATGTATTTTTTTTCTTTTTCTATTAGTTTAGTCTTTTATTAGTAGCTGGTGTGAAGAAAGAAGGTTACGAAATTGGTATGCCATGCAAAAATGTGTTCTAAACCTGAGTGGAGTCTGAATTGATTTTCTAGATCTTCTTGGAATATTTGCTTACAAATGCGTTCTAATGTTGAAGGACCTAGTATTTTGCCTTTGAAATAATCTACATTGTGTCTAGCAGAGCGTTAAACTTTGACCACAGCAGCTACATCAAGAGTGATCTACAGTTGACACTTTATAAGACGGCCACCTATTGTCAGGAAGAAATGTGGCCATCTGAGAAAGGTAGTTCGTCTTATACAGCGTTATTATAACGTTTAAAATATGCAAGGGAGGAAATGGGAAGTGGCCATTTGTACGGTTGATCATCTCCTACGGGGAGGCTGTTAGAGCAGGTTCAACTGTATTTGCTGTCCACATCTGTCTTAAAAGTCTACACTCTTTCTGAGATGGCAAACTTCTTTAGAAGTGGAGCTTCACTTTTGAATGTCATGTATACATAATATATGAGAATATCCCTCAAATATTTCGAAACATAAACATCTTTGGCAAAATAAAAGTGCTACAGGTAGTTCAGGTGATAAGATAACGGACAAAGGGTAAAAAAAAACCCAATACAGCTCATGATGTTTATATGCCCACTGTCAAACAATTGGAAAACTAATTGTGTTGTCCGAACCGTGAAAAGCAGTGTCTTGTTCAATTTATTCCTAGTATCTAACTGTGGTGTTTCGTTCTCCCAAATTTTTCTGTGTACTTTTTGAGTTTGTCTGCATCTGTGGGTTCTGCTTTTCAACAAGTAAATGTATGGTTTTATGCAATGTCGTTCCTGGATCAATGTTTGGACAATTTTAAGGCTCTCTTGTCTTTTGAATTTTTTTCTCATCGTTAAAGAATCTACGGCTAAAGGAAAAATTTTTAAGATGAGGAATGGGGCAGAAAAAAGGGTGGTGTTATTACTGAAGCAAAGTGAGATTATCTTTTACAAAGAATGGAAAACTTTTGGGGGGAAATATTTCTTATTTTACAGTTTCTAGGGAAGTTTACATATATTTAATTCCTTTTTACTGGATTAAAAAGGGGCTCTCTAGGTTCAGAGGTGCAGTGTTCTCCTCTCGTTCAAAGGTCCCGGGATTGTAACCTGACAGCCAAGAAAAGTTTGCTTCTCTGAAATTTTCTCTTCTCAAGTCATTTCCTCCTGTTCTCTAGTCATATTATCTTCTTTCATCCCAACTTCATAACCTCTGCCCCCCCCCCCCCCCCCCCAGCCTCCTCTGTGCTCCTCTCTCCCTAACTCCTGACTCTTTCACTGATTCTACTTGTACTTTTACTAGCTCTTTCTTACTGCTGACTTTCAGTCACACCCCCGGTTCTTAGGGAAGGTAAGATCGAACACCTAGCCTTCTTAGATAAGGCCGAAAAATCTCGGAGGTCTCTCTCTCTCTCTCTCTCTCTCTCTCTCTCTCTCTCTCTCTCTCTCTCTCTCTCTCTCTCTCTCTCGCTTAACATATATATTAAATATATTATTATTTGTTTTGTTTGTTATGGTAAAGTGTTTTACGGCGCTCGCAACTGCATTAGGTCATATGAGCGCGCGGGACACACCTAATATTTTCAGTTGGTAGGAAATTTTGAATTTTGTCCGAGTGGCGGCCGAAGCCTACTCTTATCGATGTTAGACCACCAAGGGATCTTTAACGTGCGCAACTTGCACACGGGCCCTCCGAGATTTGTTCGCCCTTGTCCGAGAAGGCTAGGTGTAGATCTTTCCCACCAGAAGATCAGGGGTGTGGCTGAAAGACAGCAGTAAGAAGAAGCGAAGGAGTAGCAGTAGAAAGGCTGCAGAAAGAATCAGGAGCCCAAAGGAAGGGGCAAAGGAGGTGTGGGGGTGGGGGCAGAAGGAGGAGACGAAAGCAGACGACAGAACATTGCTAGAGAGCAGGAAATGAGGTGAAAGGAGACAAATTTAGTGAAGAAAATTTTTCGGTTACTACCCGGATTCGAACCCGGGACCTTTTAAGTGAGAGGCCAACACCTTAACCTCTATGCCACGAGAGTCCCCTGACGCTCTCTGGTGATTGTCTTTTCTCCTCAAT